GAATATTATATACATATAACCGATTATCCGATAATAAATATTGTGCAAAATGAAAAAGAATTTTACTGAGTGTATCTCATCTAAGCTTTGTCATTATCTTTATTTTACAGTAATTTATTATTTAATGTACAGCCTAGTATACTGTATTTGATTATTACCTTCTTTTCTAGACAAGCTTTGGATCAACTTGAAAGTGAAGTTCAAGAACGTATAAATCGTTGGAGTCGTATTGAAGCTTTAACTGGTCACTTGATACGTTCAGACATTCATAATCAATATGCGAAAAGTACTATTTGTGAAACTACAAGTTCAATTCCTTGTTCAATCGATAAGTATAGATATTGTAATGGTAGTATGAAGTCTAGTGATTCTGATCGTTTGTCATCTATGATTGAAGAAACTTCTCTAGAATCTAATCGTTTTCCTAAATCTACTGGTAATGGTTTAGTGAATGATTTCGATTGCACTCATAATAAAGAAAGTAAGTCTTAAAATCATATTTTTATCTGAATATTTCGGTTGTAGTTCATTTAGGACAGATAGGAGGATATTTTTACGTGGCTGTTGATTAAATAATTGTCTAAATAATGATTGTTCAGTGTATTACAGATTATACGCATAATACTTTATTATGTTGGCTTCAGTCTACTTACAAATCAACATTGAAAACTAATATTTACTTTTTGTGAATCTTATATTTATGTAGTTTTCAACTTGAAAGAATCATTTCAATTAAACACTGAAACGACTGATACATTCAGGACAAGTTTACCGCGAAATTATTCGTTTGTTCGACCATTTGCTACTTTATGGAGACGTAAGACAAAATCTGGTCGAGGTAAATCAGATTCTAAACAGTAATTATATAGAATTTCTCTTTTTTTCCTCAGAGTAATACACTTATTTTAATTTGTTTTCTTCCACTATTTATCTTCACAAGATGTCAAGCTGAATCTTTAAAATGACTTCATTAGATTCTTTGTTACTTCCTGTTATATATATACGAATAACCTTAGCATACATTCCTTTAATCATTAGTGTGTCTTTCTATTAGACTGTATATTTGAATCTTAAGGGGGAAATTCTTTGACTGAAATCACTGTGTTTAGAAATTTTGTGCAATTTTGACTTTATTTTCAAGCGGAAATTTATCATTTATTTACCTTGACCTGTTTACTTAAATCTTTTGACTGCCATAGTACTTTACATTTGCTATAATATACCTATATTTGTTTTCCTCTTTTGTTTGTACTTTCATAATATTACCCAGGTTGGTAATAACTTTAACTGTGTTAAAGGCATTTATATTTATTTTAATTAAACTTTTTCTTATGATAGACTCCTTTTTTCACTTATTTCAAATTTGTCAGTCACAAGGTGAATTTTATCTTATTTCATGTTGATGATCGTCTCTAACAACTTTGAATGACGTAAAGTGACAGAATACGAATAATTAATTGTGACTGGTTGCTTCTTACTAAGTTACGTACAAAGAAAAAGTTTATTTAATTCCAAATATCAGTTTAGTTGGAATTGTAGTCAGTGAATAGTAAGTTGTTTAAAATTTCAGATTGTAATTTACTCTTGAAAGAGCTTTCATGAGCTATTTGAGCAGTAAGGTTCATGGAAGACAGAGTGCTTAGGGTAGGATGAACGGTTAGCAGAAAATGCTTTTGGTTATAATGTAATTCCGCATTCATATTTTCCGGGTAAATAAGAGCTACAAATGCGCGAAATGAGAAGTTTAACGCACTGATAAATGATTCTATAGAACAGCCATTTGATAACTAGACATTTTAATGGCAAAGTATGAATGTAACTTGAAATTGTTACGTTGTATTACTAGAAGGTATACACACTTGCTTCACCAACTGTCATTGGTGTGAAATGGAGTTGTATAGTGTTGTTCGGAAACGTATTTCAAACCAACCAAATCGGCATAGGACGTTTCCAACTAATCACCGCGCAAAGAAAGGAAACCATATAAAAGTTTAATCAAGAGACCTGGGATCCATGAAGTCGAGCTACTGCGACGTCATCATTATACTGTTAGTTATTTTGTGTATGGAACGTTCAGATGGATGGGATTGCCAATGGGTTCAGTCGTAGTCGATTTCCTTCTGGGGAAATTGGAATACATCCATCTAAAACGAGTGCTAGGCGCACTAGGATTTTATTGTCGCTTCATGTACGGTACAGTTATAGTTACAAAAGACTATAGCGAAGCTCAGAACCTACTACGAAAATTTAATAGAGTCAAGCGGACAATAACCTTCACAATAGAAGGAGGAAAGTACGACTCCATATTTCTAGGTGTCCTATCTGCCAAAAGAACTAGTAAGACCTTAAGACGTTATTCCAGGACAGGTGCCCCGTGTCATTCATTTCGTTTGCTGAAAAAATATGTTCGAGGTAAGATGGCGGACGCTCGTTTGATATGCTGATGCTGAAAATGTGCCTGATTTGATGTGAGATTCATCTTAGTCTAGCAGGTTTTATTTCTTTTCACGAGTGACAATGTTGCGAGATAATTTTTCAGGAGTTAAAATGAACGGCTTACAAGAACTTTATAAAGGACGACATGCGAGAATTTTTTGGCTCGCGAACTTGTGGAACTTTATGAAGTTGCAATTTCTACCAATAACCCTTAGAAACAGTGTACACTAGCAAACTTATATATTGCAGTGATACAGTTACATGCAAAATAGAACCTATCTCCAAGTCCCGACAGTAACGCATCTTCAATTTTGCTTGTGTCTATCATAAACTATTGACAATATTCTTTGATTAAGGAATTTTTCTAAGAATTCGGTGTATCAGTGTGTCCAACATTTTTGCTTCTGATGACCTTGGAATCCTGTGCCTACTAATTTCCGGTAGTTCAAATGCCATTATTCTATCACGGTTTGTCATGACCGTTAAAGTAAAAAAGGAGGAGAGAGCCAACTACTAAAAATGTTCCTTACATCAGTTACCCATTGACTACCTTGTAGTCAAGGCTAATTGTTTAAAACTTTTTGCAGCATCTAATGGGCTCCTTGAGATATTGACGTGGAATATATCCAGACTCTCGCAGTTATACAATAACCATAACAATGTAGCCCCAATGAATTCTGTTTTTGCAGAACAAATAATAATAATAATAAGAGAACTGCCTAAAAATACTGACTGACAAAATGAAATACCCTAAAAAATATTTTTAAAGTTATAAAAATAATGATGGTAAACTAGACCGAATTTCACATAATTCATCATTATTAATCGCGATTTAGTTGTCAGTAAAAATTTGATATTGGCATTCCTCACTTAACAGTCTATTATTTGAGAATCAGCTATTATTATTGTAAGTAGACTGTTTATCTTTCTCTCTGAAACTATCTAATTCGTCGTAATCAATGGTCAGTTGTAGGAAAAATTTATTTTTAATACATCTGGCGACCTGTGACAAAAATGTCACTAAAGCAAACCTTGAAGTAGTCCCTGATTAGTCTTAATTGAATGTGGATATCTTTCACCTATTTTTTTACAGTTTTATTCGTCTTTATCTAAAGCATAGAGACCTAGTTCTTACTCCTCCAGCCAGTAATTATGAGGATGCTCTGAAGTGTACCGAAAAGTATGTAAAGTAATAAGTTCACGGATTGAATCTCGAGCCTAATAAGTTACCATTTCAGATGTTTGTGATTCTTTCTGATTACATCATATAGAATTTCTAAAATACCTTTTCCCATCATCCGAAATACTAGCAAAATTTCACTTTCAGCACAAAGTTTGGAGGAAAATATCGTGAGCCAAATGTACAATAAGTGAGAATAGATTGTAGTTTAACTTTTCACTTCTTTGTAAAGGTCGAAGTCTCGATTGTTCCACCAGCTAAGAAAGTTCAGGAGACGTTTTGCACATCCTTCAACCGGAAGACTGGCACACTGTTGGGGGTAAAAAATAACGGCTTGTAGGGTTACATAAATGTCACTGGGTCCTGACTAAATCATTTGGCTCTCAGGTCATCTCCTTTGTATGCATTGTACTGTCATCAAATTAGCCATAGTACCTGCATACGACGAAAGGGTAATCTACATCGCGTATTAACCGTGGGTGGGGCCACGACGTTCAAATTGGATAGACCATCAATCGTCGACGCAGATCATATATGTTTGCGATCTACAGACTCATACTAGTTCATTAGTAAAATATTCATTTCTGCTTATTTCGTATGCATTGGAAGCACCTGTGATCCATTACTACAAATTAGAGGAGCTCGTTAAGCGAACGCTCTTTCTGTTGTATCTTTAATCATTTGAAACACTTGAACTGTTTGAACTTTGTTTTCAGTTCCTGAGTAGTTGAACTGTCTGACAGTTAGAAGGATGTCAGATAACCTAACAAAAACATAGCTAAAATTAGGACGTCACTCAACACGAAGTAACAGTTTTTCAGTTTGTTAAATTAGGATAACATATTGACCTAAATATCGATAACCGCAAAGTTATACACTTATGAGCATTCGAAAATTCGTGATTCCTAGATTGAACCATTTAATCGAAAATTTGGTCAAAATATAGTGGCTTGACAAACGAGCATAGATCCTATGGTGATCATCACGCGTAATAAAGGGAAGCTGAAGAGAGTGCACAACAATAAACTCTTTGATTAACGGCTGTGGTTAATGAAGTAGAACATGGAGTAGCGTTAATCAGTATTTATCTGCAGACTGAAAAACTGAGTACTAATTTATAGAAGATCGTAGTCTAATAAAGGAAAAATATCTGATATTTTAAAAACGATTACACTTCAGAAAGTAGATATGATATTTATGAGATGATATTCAATTATAATGTTGAGACATTTTTATTGTACACTGAAACGTCATTAGATGTACATGTCACTACGAACTCATCTGCTAGTGCTTTCAAAAAAATGTATAATCCTGAGGGAACTACTGGTATTGTCACCAAGACCATCACGACTTGTGTTCTTGATTTAGAACTCAAGAGGTTTTAATGTGCCAAGGCCAAGGCGGGTTTGTTAAAATGTCTGAAGGGCAGGGAAGTGGTTGTTTGATGACATTTCTAGTTCTTACCTCGTTAATCTACAAATCATCTCAGATAGGTAAAATCAATTAGCATTTCATAATATTGTTTGGATCTTTGTGAGATTTGTGGTATGTGGTTAGGTAGGAGGGTAATTTTCAGATGTCGTAGTGATCACTATGATAATGCAAAAATATTGAGTATCGTTCGTCAAGATGTTTCAGAGTTATGTAATTTAATTTATGGCTTTTTTTCTTGTTTATAATACTTCATATTGTTTTATTTTGCTCAGTTTGTATAATTTTGACCGATGTCATTTGTTAGCAAGTGAATTCCGTAAGTATAAATGTATAGTTTTTTTATAGCCATTCATTCTTTAGGGAAAACCCTCAAGATATTATGTTAATTCATTATAGCTGCTATAAGGTTGTTGACACGTGACTCTGTTTCCAGTTATTTGTACTTATTAATTTTACAAAATTTCTCTTTTATCCCAATAAACACTAGTTATCGGCCCTGCTCGCGATTTGTATAACCTGTAGTTTTTTCTTTTCAGTGGGGCTGCAAAGTAGTGGAGATCGTTATTTATAATTAATCAACTGCAATTTAGCATTTTGTTGAAATATATTTTATGATTGCTTTCATGACAAAATGTCATCAAATTCATGACCGAATCGAAAGTTAGTGAATTGGGTCAGACGATAATTTCCAGAAAACCTTTGAATGAAGCTGAAGTGACTTTGAGAGTGAACGCCTACTGATTAGGACTAAATGAGGGTTATATAACAGTTATAATTCCCAATTGCAGTTCATGGTTATTGTTAAAAATTAGATTTAAGGTTTTCATCACGAACTGACATCAGCTATACTGCCAAAACTAATTAGACATATGTATGGATGAATTCCGTGCCCAAATTCGTGACTCTGTCTTACATCTCATTAGTTCGTCCATAAATTATAGTCTCGCAGTGTTGCACAATTTTCGGTACTTCATATTCTGCATAACGTTTTCTAACATTTTGTGTGCATTAGCTTTATAAGTTTATTATCTGCAACTACTAATACGAAGTTTTTTTTTTAGGTTCAGTTACACCAGAAATTATTGTACTAGATACCAATGGCAACCAAAAAGAATTAGATGGTATTGCTATTGTTTACAATTCCTACGTCACTTTAATTTGCCGTACAGTATCTGACGAACATCTTCTAAGATGGCTGTATGCACCATCACAAGATGGAACGTTTACGCCACTAAATAATACAGGCCATATTACCATTTCGTCTCAAAAAAATGAAGAAGTATCGTTGCTGCTCGTCAGCGTTCAGTTTAATATGTCGGGCGTATATCAGTGTACTAATGGACTTGCCAGTCGTCAGATAGATGTTCACGTTTATGGAGGTATTTTTATGTTAATAACTCAGTTTCCTTTTTAGTTTTAAACAAGATTAGTAGTACTGTCCACTTGATAAAAAAACATGAGGTGGTTGGTGCTTACAGTCTTCAGATTAACACAATCAATTCAAGTTATCATCCTGTTGTTGCGTGTGAATTCCGAGTTGGTTCAAACGGTATACGATACACTACTGTCCGTTGGAGAGGCGGAAAGTATCATGTTAAACCCAATCTTTACAAAGTTACTGAGAGTCGAGACGAAAAGTCTGGCATTATATGGAGTAATTTGACATTGCTTCATCCTTGTAAGCTTGATGATTACACTCCACTTGTTCTATAATACTTCATATTTCATCCCTAAGCTTGATAATTCATATAACCTGATACTTGTCACAAGTGTAAAGATTTTTTCGTCTAGTGACATTAACCCAATCACTTGATTTACGATCACTGGTGACAGGCTCCATTTCCACTCTATGTACTTTTATATATAAGCATATTGTGTTCCCAGTTTTTACATAACAATTGTGACCTATAACCTAGTACACAAACATTTACTAGGCTAATGATTCGATGGTACATATCTTTTGTCTTACACACTTATGCTCTTATAGAGACTTAACAAATTATTCATTAGTCACACTCAAACGTTACTTTTGAAATCTTCATATCACGATAACGTGAAGTAGTGAGTCATTAAAAACAAGAATTTTCAAATTATTTGCGAGGTTGGAGGCAATCAACTTTCCTAAATGTCTAGTACTTGAGTGTCTTTCAATTTTGGTTGTCAACATCTTATTACGTATCGCATATTCTGTATTTGACTCTACGGCGAATAAAAACCACTATTCTTCACACTTGTATTATAGTACTTTAAATTGAACAACAGGCTTATCGCGATAGTAACGGCTTCATAAATTCTAATCATACTCGTTGCTGTTTAATTGGCTTTTAGTGTCAGTTACTATGTTAAGCCCATATGGTTTATTCTAGCTTCTGGACAGGCCAATTTATCCATTCTTCTTGAGTCACGTTTTGGCCTTGTGAGTTATTCACTTATCACCCTTGACTGTTTTAATATGAGCTTATGTGTGTAGACTTCTTATCATATTCGTCAAATATCTGTAACCTATTTTTACCTTGCCATAAATTAACGCTCGATTAACTAGAGTTGACTTACATGTCTTCTCCACTGTGCTTCATTTCGCTTCATTCTCTTCTCTTCGTCCCTCTGATTGCCTGTCCAGATCAGTGAGTATACAGAATATATGTGTTCAAAAATCCATTCTCGTATTTGGCTTATTTACTTCCATTATCCACTAACACGAACGAAGTTGTTTATTACATTCAAGGATAACCGACATGTGTATTTCAATAACATCCATACGATCCAATTGGAGTCTGACATCAAGCCACTAAAGTGGGGAGCCCGTCGATAACATCTTTCGATCTAAGTGACGTCAAACTAAAGGGCCTTACTAAAGACTACTTATTTATTGTCTCAATTGATTGATCCATGATTTAGCTACTTTTCAGATTTATTTTTCCATTAGTTGTGCGCTAGTGAATAGAGGAATAAATTAGTCCTTTTACGTTCAGAAGTACATATCTGTGTCATTCAAGGTTTTATGGAGGGTGAGGGTTTCATGTCGCATAGTATGGAAAATATTGTTAAGGTTAAGAAGTTTCTATTCAATCGTAATTAAATGCGTTTTAGAAATAGAAACTACCTTAGTTAACACTGATGCTTGTTTTTATTGAGTTTTAACGTATGATTTTACCAGGTTCCTGTATATTTTACGAAATATGATTTGTTTATCGTTTGGAATTGTTACTCTTAACATAGCCTATGACCAAGAACTGTACGGAAAATATTATTGCATGTTCAATATTGTGCCTGGTACTATGGAGACAGCTGAATTACAAATAAGCAGTGAGCTAGTTTTTTGATAATTTATTGTAATACTATATTAATATTTATGTAAAAATGGTAGTTAAAAATTGGTCGTTCAGGTTTCTTCATTGAATGACCAAAGTAGGTATTTATATTGCTAGGAAATATTTATTACTGCCGAAATAGTAGATTATCCGGTAAAAATTCACTAGGTAGCGCCACAACTCATCGCATGATCCTCTTAATAATCATCGGATTTCTTGAAATTCATTAATTTAAACTTTAAAATACTGTTAATTCAGGCTACCCCATTAGAACCTGCTAAAATGTGCTTTTATTCACACTCGTTTTGAAGCTTTTAAACTATTGACGAAACTTTATCTTCGTTAACTTCAAAATTTTAGAGACTCGTCTCAGTGAAAATCCTACAAGTACTCAGTTGTATTTTCATTAACCATCGCAGGGCCGGCATTTAACAATCCTTATTCTTTCTCGTTTTATCTTTAGTTGTTAATAATTGAGTTAGAGAGTAAATCACTCGTGATAAAAATCCCATTTACGAGTTAAAGCTGCGCTATTTCGGTCATTCGACCATCACCCGTTGTGACCACGGTTCGAAAAATTCAAACCTTTTTAGTCTGAAGGATACCGAAAAATACCAAACAATGTTGTTTTGCAGTTGATTAAGTAAATTAAGAGATCATGTAGCACTTACTTACAAAGTTGTCATTAATTGGTATTAATGCTTAATTCCTAATTAGTCATGTTTTCATAGTTTACATCCGGGACTAATCTTGATTAGACCACCACTGTAAACCAGGTAGCACTGAACAGTCGTCAGTGATAGTATAACTATGATCACTTTATGATGAAAATCTAGTAATCTCCAAAATACCTGATTGATTATAATCCATTGTTACAACCATACATAATTACAAGTGTACGTGCACGCACATATAATTCATATCCTGGCGTCTCCCTGATAACTGGCTGTTTTCTTTTTTATCCAGACTAGATAAGAAGAGTAAATGTTCGGTGAATTTTAATACATTTTCGTATAAATAATAAGAAATCAAAGCAATACACAATAAATCATATAGTTCAATTATAAAGACCTTTATACTGCTAGATTTTGTTACATGCGTATGTTGTTTGGATTCATATCAACCACTCTCTGTACATATCTTATTTGTTTACTGTTATATCCCGATGAGAATTATGAATGTTAACTTTTGAGAACTATTTATGGACAAGTGTTATACGTATATTAATGTATAGCTATCTAGTAGCTAGATTGTGTATATCTATAATTTTATTACATGCTTTCTTTTGACCTATAAACTATTATTATACGATTTACCGTTGTTGAGTTGTGCTCAGTCTATTAATTACAGTCTTCCATATTCACAGATACTTTTGGCTAGATCTTGTACGTGTTATTTTCTTTTTATAGTACGATGTGGTCTGTTTGGTTTGTACATAAACCCAATATATTTAAAATACTTGATTCGTATTGCAGAAGCTGACAGCGGTGTGCTGGACTTAACAGGCAGGTCTAGGCAGGAAGAAGGACCGATAAAGACTCTAGACTGGTCGTATGGATTTTATGCGTCATTGGTCCGGTCGATAAATTACTGTTCTTTAATTGGCGATATCATTGTGTAATATATTAATAGGGCACAAGTTTACAAGACATAACACAGTTAGACAAAAGTAATAAAGAATTTCGGTAATGCGTTGAGTAGACGGCAAGTAACAAAGAAAAAAGAATGAAATTATTAACAATTAGTGTGTCTAAAAAGGTTGGATAAAGGTTAAGAAAATATGTAAAATCACCGAAAATAAAATATTACTGAACAAGGAAGTGTTATTTGAAGTATTATATAAACAGTTTATCCGTTTCATCAAAAGTGTACGATTATCTATGTTAAGCTGTAAGTTTTCATCAACATGTATAAATAGGTTTCGATTTAGTTTAGGGGAAGAGCAACTATCACTATTTGTAGGTTATGTGATGAACGTTGAGATGAACTACATATTTAAACTGGGAAGCGTTTCAGTTTTTCAAGTTGGACTTGGGAATTATTACAATCTCAACATACTACATCTTAAATTTACTCTTGAACATGATTTGCTATCCGTACTTTCCGGTGGAGTTTTGTTCTTTGAAGTGGATGGCTTAATCGTCGAGCATCTACTCAAAGCTTGTGCTAATGGTGTTGCCCGGAAGAACGATAAAGGTTCTACAACTAAGTCATCGAGCTCAGAGAACGAAACTCAACCAGAACCGTTCATTTGAACTACAAATCTTCTGCGTCTTGATATTCATAATACTGATCAATTGTATCTGTGTAGAATTTTTTAAATAGTATTGTTGTATAAAAAATAATTGTTATTAGTGACTTATTTACTGATAATTAATTTTAATTGATACTATGACTTTAAATTAACTGTTAAACTAATTTATTTTTTTCCTTATATCTTCATACTGGAAAATTTTTTCTTATATAAATATCAAGTTCCACCATTAATACACAAAAATGAACGTAGTGTAAATCTTTATTCTGGTGTGAAATACACTTACTTCTGTGATATTATTGCCTACCCACCAATCACTGAACCTATTTCATGGATGAGGAATGATGTTCCTCTAGTAATCCAACATAATGGTCGAATTCCTGTTCATGATAATTCTGAAAATCGTATACATTTTGAAAGTAAAAACGTTCTCAATGATCAAATTGTATTCGATACAATACAACCAGATGATAGAGCTGTCTATTCATGTTTTGTTCGTGGAGCATTTGGAAATGATACAGCAGCTTTCTTTTTACGAGTAAAAGGTTGGTTTTTATTTCAAACTAAATTTTTCTGATAGAAATATTCAACTTTATATGGTTAAATGTCTAATACAAGACAATATGAATTCAATCAACAAAGTTTTTTTGTTTACGAAATAATGTAGCCTGTTTCGATTCGTTTGTCGATAAGATATTAATCATTCAAAAAATACATGGCAGTAATATGTTTTCCTAATACGTGTAACATTAAGTGAACATTTTATAGTCTGGAAATGTATTCTAACTAGTGATATTTTTTAAAAGCTTATTCTCACTCTTTTTCTTCGTTTTTCATCATATTTTTCTTGTTTATCCTAACATTTTGATGTATGTATTGCTGAGAACTGTAGTGACATGAATATACAGGAGGTTGTTTGGTTTTATACTTCAAAGGTTTGTTCTTTGCAGATAAATGCTGTAAGGAACTCAGTTCTTATTTTTCATATGAATTTAATGTGTCAGAAACCAGTATATTCAGTCTGTGAATATGTGATGAAAGTGTGCAGAATGTAGATCTAAAATCTTCAAATCATGAGAATGGTTTGTACGTAAATATTCTCTGCCCAGTCTGTTTGAATTCTATAGTTTTAATAATTGTTTTTCTAAAGAGACTACTCTTTACTTAGACTTATCTTGTATACACGGCAGTCAGTCATTCACAACGTAAAACCTGTACGTGCATACGTTTTTTCAAGTCTCCATACCCTATTAACACAAAGAGATGAAGTTGTCAGGCCAAATCTCAGAATAGTAAAGGTATTAACAATGTCCGTAGTAATAGGAAAGACTAGACATTGAAGATGCGACTCGAAAAGAAAATATAAATTGGCGAAATAAAAATATAAATTTATGAAGAATATAGAATTTCAGGATTTAGGGGAATCTAAAGAATGGATGCACCTTCACCATTGCAAATGACTTTGAGTCATGTCATTCGAAGTCTATAATCATTGGTTACGATAATCACGCGGATCCCAACCAGGTAGTGTGTACCTATTAACACGAGTCAGCCTGATTGTCAGTGACTTCATGAACAGATATCAGGGTTTGGCTGTTCCTATCGTTTCTCCTGACTACTGCTCCGAAAGACATTATCCGTCAAGGTAGGAGGTGGTTGGGCATGCGTAACACATGTCTCCGCCATCTCAATTGATGAAAATTTGCTACCTCATCATTTGATTCCCCATCTTTACCTAGTACTCTACTCTTAACCCAAACATTATTTACTCTATGGTCCCAAAATACACGAGCAATGCTTCAAATACTAGTAACTTATGAATATACTCTACTCCACGTAGCCATTAGGCTATGTATCACATCCATCAAGTAGAACGGAGAAAACTGTTGAGCAGATGGATATCTCGCCTGCATCATAAGTGACGCGAGTTGGCAAAGCTACTCGAACTTGGTAGATAGTGAACATCATATTAAGCTTTCTCTGTTTTATATCAAGTTCCAAAGAATCTACTTCAAGGAGCTAGATTGCGGCTATTCTATATAGCCGAAGCCATCTGGATCAACTCCAGAAAATCGAACTTATGTGTCCAGAAGAGTTATATTTAGCCTCTATGTTTACCTTGGCCCACGACTGGATCACCTCTCATTACATATGTTCATACAGCGATATTATTATTATCACCTCGATTAATAAGATGGAATTCTCCTATTATTCATTTTACTCACACAATTTTTTATTTTTTTACATTACTATTATACTGATTATGACTTGACATTTTACTACAAATCATTCTGACCTTTCTAATTTACAAATAACACCATTTTGGAGTATATATGTCGTAACAGATGCAAACGTTCACCATTTTTAACACATAACATTGTCAAATTCATTAATGAATGCCTTATTTTGGCTTTTGTAAGATATTATAATTATGGACTTATAACTATAACCTAATAATGAAGTTGTTGAAAACAATTGTCCGCTCAAATATCTTCTATTTTGTATAATTTTTTAATCTAGATAAATATTTATTTCATAGCATGTAGTCAACCAATACCTCACACCAGTCTTAGATGGGAAAATAAATCCACTATTATTGTTCTGTTGTCTAAATTCAAAAAAATTTCAGTTTTCATGACTTCTCTCAACGGTATGAATGTGCTATTTTCAATCCTAATTTTTGACTGCTATTTAATTTGTAACATTGTAACGCTTTTTTGACGTAGTAAATTTGATCGATTCTATTTTAATATTGTTGATGAATTTTTATCGAAGCTTCTTGGTAATTTGTTATTTTCATTTCGTCAAAAGCAAAAACTCACACCATATATTAGATCTTTGGTTTTCCGTACTTTTTTTAAATTATCAAACTTATGTTTAATTTATTTTCGTCTGAAACTGTAGTTTTATCTTCTAATCACAACTGTGAATTAAACATTTTGTTAAGATTTCTTGAATCATGCATTGTGAATGACTTGGGAATTTCTATTGAACATTATTATTTCGCTTCAGTAAAATAAATTTCATATTAATGATTACAAGTTATTAGGATTAGTAAATCGTCTTTCGTATTGCCCCAATGTATTTGTCATTATATCGGTGCTTGTCTTGATCTTTCACTTGGATAATTGATGAAAGCATAAAAATTATTCACTTCATTAAGACCTATTAAAGTCATTGAAAACCTAGTATAAGACTAGTTAAATAAGTAATGCTCTTTTGGTATTACCCATCGAATTGTAAATACTTGTGCGCATTCTCTGAGTGTTTAGTATTGAGCTGTAAACTGTTAGTGTAAAGTTATCAGCTAACTGATATAAATTTGGATTTCCTGTTTGTCGAATTAGTTATGTGTGAATTGTTATGCTTGTTGGATGCTTAAGTGGCTTGTATTTTGTACTGAACTCCTAAATCCGACATTGCATAATGAAAACACAAGGCTAATTTATTAGCCTTATTTACAGCTAAATTAACAATCAGATTTGTATAGTTTGAAACAGTAGCATTTAACATCAGTTACTCAATAACTTACTATGTGAATACAAATTCAATATCTTACAGTCAAGCATCTATAACCGACAGATATAGCTATTTGATTAAGTTGCATAATCATTCCTCAAGATGTGATTATATGTCACAGACGATCAATTTCATATGTCAGTCCCACTCCAATCGATTAAGCCGTTGCTCATTGAAACTTATATATAGAGATATACGTGGTGGTGGAGAAGATTTGTAGCTCAGGTGGATGATTTTGGTGGAGTTTTGTTCTCTGAGCTGGATGGTTTGGTCGTGAAGCTTTCATCGTTCTTCTGAACGACATCATCAGCACAAACTTCAGATAGAAGTGAAGTGTTTGAATTTCTCCATATGTGTCTCAAAGCTTGTTCTGTGCACCTCGACGTTGATTGGTTCTTATTGACCTTAAATTTGTCGTTGTTTACTTCTTTGTTTTGGTTGTGTCTCCCATTGTTTTGATTTTTGTTCTTATGTTTGTGCATGATTTTTCTGATTGGTTGATAAATTGGATTGATTTCAATATGCTTGTTGATTGCTGATTGACCTGAGTGCCAGGCTTCTAAAAATTCTCTGGTGTTTTTGGAGTTTCCTCTGTCTAAGATTTCCACATTTTTCCAATCGAATGAGTGTCCGCAGTTGTCCACGTGTATTGATATAAGTGAAGAGATATCATGCCGTTTGACTGCTAATTGATGTTCATGTAGGCGAAGGTGAAGGGGGCGTCCACTTTGTCCGATGTAGTGTTTTTCGCAGTTGGCACAATTTATCTTGTAGATGATGTTTGATTTGTTTCCCTTTGTTATTTCATCTTTTGGTTTGCATAAGATTGATTGTAGTGATTTTGTCGGTTTGTGTGCCACACCTATTCCGAAGGTTTTCAGTAGTCTCGTCGCGGTTTCCGATATTCCTTGTATATATGGTAGGGTGATCCTTTTGTTGATTTTTGCGCTTGACTTGATTTCTAATGCTGCGTGCGGTTGGTATTTTTTGATGAAGTTGATGGGGTAGCCGTTCTTCTGAAATACATCCTTTAGGTATTTCTCTTCATTTCTTCGTGCTGCCGGTGTGCTGCAGTGTGTCCTCGCCCTCTTGAACAAATTGTGTACGCAGTTGATTTTGTGAGCTCTGGGGTTGTTGCTATTGTAGTTGAGAATTTGATCCGTATGGGTCGGTTTCCTATATACTTGAGTTTCCAGTTTTCCTGTGTCGGTTCTAGTGATCAATATATCCAAGAATGCTAGTTGGTTGTTTGATTCCTGTTCCATGGTGAACTTGATGTCATCGAAGACGTTGTTGATCAGGTTGTAAGTGTTTTCTAGTTCATTCTTTTTGACGATGACGAAGGTGTCGTCTACGTAGCGAATCCAAATTTTTGGTTTGATCACTGGTAATATAGCGGCTTCTAGTCTTTGCATCACTGCCTCTGCGATCAATCCTGATATTGGTGATCCCATTGGTGTCCCTTTCGTTTGTTCGTAGATTTTGTTGTTGAATTGAAAGTATGTTGTTAGGCATAAATTGATGAGTTCCTGTAGACTTTGAATTTGAAGCTTCGTGTATTTAGTGAGGTTTGTGTCGTTGTTGAGCAGCAGGGATATAGTTTCTTTTGCTAATTTTGGTTCAATTGAGGTGAATAGTGCTGTCACGTCGAAGGATATCATCAGTTCGTCGTTGTTGATTTGGATGTCCTTAATTTGGTCCAGAAATTGTGTAGGGGATTTGATTGAGTGGTTGGCTGAATCTACTAAATGTCTCAGTATTCTTGAAATTTCTTTTGACGTAAGTATCCTACGTCAAAACACTTGGAAATCTTGACAACGGCCATCGAGATATCATGCAAACGACACAGAGAACAAAGAAGGAACGCCTTAAAGAAAAAACTGATCAAGATCTCAAAACCACCCATGGAAGAAAACACAAACAACTGCGTGATAAATTTGTCAAAACAACCATTAACAAATACGGAAGAGCACCTACTCCAAAAAGGATTAAACTACAATACAAGCGACGCCTCAAAGGTGGAATTCTTCGCAGCACTGGAGTCATCACTCAAAACTTCGGGAATCAGTGAAGAAACACAACAAGAAATAAGGCAAACTATAGTACCGCTAACTCAACGTGCGAAGGAAAACAACCAACTGACTCCACAAGAACAAAAGGCCTTAAAAGAACTCGAAAATAGAAAGGATATTGTCATAATACCAGCGGACAAGGGACGCACCACAGTAATCATGGACAAAGAAGAATACGTCAAAAAAGCCGAAGAACTACTAGAAGATAAGAGCACATACAAACTGATGGATACAAATCCCGTCAAAAAATTAGACAACCAAATCTCAAAGACCTTAAACAAGCTAGTCAAAGCAGGAGAAATAACAAAACAAGAACAATGGAGAATGAAATCCAACGGACCAGTACTTCCTCGGTTCTACGGTAGACCCAAAATACACAAACCAAACGTCCCACTACGTCCAATTGTAGCACTCCCCGGAACACCAACGTACAATTTGTCAAAAGAAATTTCAAGAATACTGAGACATTTAGTAGATTCAGCCAACCACTCAATCAAATCCCCTACATAATTTCTGGACCAAATTAAGGACATCCAAATCAACAACGACGAACTGATGATATCCTTCGACGTGACAGCACTATTCACCTCAATTGAACCAAAATTAGCAAAAGAAACTATATCCCTGCTGCTCAACAACGACACAAACCTCACTAAATACACGAAGCTTCAAATTCAAAGTCTACAGGAACTCATCAATTTATGCCTAACAACATACTTTCAATTCAACAACAAAATCTACGAACAAACGAAAGGGACACCAATGGGATCACCAATATCAGGATTGATCGCAGAGGCAGTGATGCAAAGACTAGAAGCCGCTATATTACCAGTGATCAAACCAAAAATTTGGATTCGCTACGTAGACGACACCTTCGTCATCGTCAAAAAGAATGAACTAGAAAACACTTACAACCTGATCAACAACGTCTTCGATGACATCAAGTTCACCATGGAACAGGAATCAAACAACCAACTAGCATTCTTGGATATATTGATCACTAGAACCGACACAGGAAAACTGGAAACTCAAGTATATAGGAAACCGACCCATACGGATCAAATTCTCAACTACAATAGCAACAACCCCAGAGCTCACAAAATCAACTGCGTACACAATTTGTTCAAGAGGGCGAGGACACACTGCAGCACACCGGCAGCACGAAGAAATGAAGAGAAATACCTAAAGGATGTATTTCAGAAGAACGGCTACCCCATCAACTTCATCAAAAAATACCAACCGCACGCAGCATTAGAAATCAAGTCAAGCGCAAAAATCAACAAAAGGATCACCCTACCATATATACAAGGAATATCGGAAACCGCGACGAGACTACTGAAAACCTTCGGAATAGGTGTGGCACACAAACCGACAAAATCACTACAATCAATCTTATGCAAACCAAAAGATGAAATAACAAAGGGAAACAAATCAAACATCATCTACAAGATAAATTGTGCCAACTGCGAAAAACACTACATCGGACAAAGTGGACGCCCCCTTCACCTTCGCCTACATGAACATCAATTAGCAGTCAAACGGCATGATATCTCTTCACTTATATCAATACACGTGGACAACTGCGGACACTCATTCGATTGGAAAAATGTGGAAATCTTAGACAGAGGAAACTCCAAAAACACCAGAGAATTTTTAGAAGCCTGGCACTCAGGTCAATCAGCAATCAACAAGCATATTGAAATCAATCCAATTTATCAACCAATCAGAAAAATCATGCACAAACATAAGAACAAAAATCAAAACAATGGGAGACACAACCAAAACAAAGAAGTAAACAACGACAAATTTAAGGTCAATAAGAACCAATCAACGTCGAGGTGCACAGAACAAGCTTTGAGACACATATGGAGAAATTCAAACACTTCACTTCTATCTGAAGTTTGTGCTGATGATGTCGTTCAGAAGAACGATGAAAGCTTCACGACCAAACCATCCAGCTCAGAGAACAAAACTCCACCAAGATATACGTGGTCATAGTAAAACTGATTTAGTGTGCATAAGGCTCGAACGTATTTTGGATAACTCTGTTGTAGTAGTTCCTAAAGCCTATCTGCTAGCTAACAAAACTTTATGTTTTTAATATTGGTTGTTATCAACAGTTCCATAAATTATTAGAGCATAATATAAGGACATGTAGAAATCGAAAATCAATACACTTTTGGGAAAATTTACTGACTTCTAAGACCCCCTTACATAGAGTTGTATGTATCAGATTATTATGTATCAAATTTCAAATTTTGTCAGCCAGTCCAATAATAAATTGTCTGTAAGTTTATAATTTTATGAGATCGTTGTAAATGTCTTCACAATGAGATTGTTATTCTTACAACCGATTCTTCACTGTACCATCTCATGTTTCTAATTATTGGCTTCTCGTAAAATGTGTAGACGTGGTATGACTCTGAGTAATTGGTATTCTGCAACTATACGTTGAACCTAACACGAAAATAGGGTATTATCGAACCCTATCTTTCATTCAGTACATGACGTTTTTATATCAATCAGACGGTTTAGATATTATGTAATTGCTATTGTTGTCATAATTTTGATTCGAAGTTGTGATGCTTATAATCATAAAAAATCTTATATTTTTATATAATAGTCAGCAACAGTAATTATTAAAGTTTAAAAAAGATTCAATGTAACTGCATAAACAAGTTTCGTCTACATCATGTTAAAGTATTTTTAACGTGTCTGCTTACTGTTTGTTTGCAATATAGATCGTCGTGCTCCTCTATGGCCTTTAATTGGTATTATCCTAGAGGTGGTAGTTTTGTTCATAATTATTTTAATTTATGAATTAAAACGCCGTGAGCGTACTAAACGGGAAGAAGCTGAAGAAAATTTGGTCACATCTGGCAAAACACCAAATGCAGCATATGGAATTGATGAAGCGAGTGAGAATATGTAAGTTGTTTACTGAGGAATAAATCTATTCCTGAAAGCTAATTATTTTCTAGTTATATCTTGTTTTTATAATATGGTGCTGGATATGTTTTTTTCTCTCAATTAAATTAGTTCAGAACCTTGTGCATCTTTGACCAAGATTGTTTAAATGCTGCAACTTAATATGCGCGCATGCATATGTTTCATCACATGAATTGAAGTTAAATGATAATCAGAAATTATAAACTTAAGTTTCGTTTGAATATTAATATTTCATAGATTATGGCTCCTTCCAGGTAAACTTCAGATTATCAAGTTTTGCGTTAATAAATTCTAGTCATCTCTCTATAAAGATAACTGCAATAACTTATTTCTGAATCCACATTGACTTTTGATGCTGTTTGGTTGGTTGTTGCCATTTTTAGTTCCCTAGTTTTGCTGTGTCTCATAGTAATGTATCCGTGCTTTAACACAATTATTGTGCCTCGGATTTAACTTTCTTGGATATCAAGCTTCTTCTGACTTCTTCCTGTCTTTCATCGCGCTGGGGGATTATTGTTCAAGTTCTGTATCAGTCATCCGATTTAACTAGTTGGCGTAAATCTTTATGTGTAAAAAGCGTACCCAATCGTTTTCAATTAGAAGCGACCGTACTTCAATAAAAAAACTTTGCATTTCATTGCTATGAGTATTTCAAGTTCAGTCATGATAAGCAACTCAAGTTGCTGTTTTTTAATTTTCTTACATCAGCTTCTGATGTCCAGGCAATCAGATGTATCTTTTATAGACTACAAGTCATTGATCGGTAGATTATTTCTAACCATGAAGAGAATTGAGTGATTACATGCATCTTGAAACATTTGTGACTATGAAGTGTATCTTCACAAATAAATATTGTCTGTGGTAGTCATCTGGTTATCTACACATTCTTATTTTGGTTTGTTGCTCCTCATTGTATTTAGTCTTACCCTCAAGTTATGGAAATTGTCAAAAGTTGCAAGTAGGATAAATAACTGGTTAGTAGATGCATGACTCTTATTCTTTAAGTTTTACTTCCATTTCAATCGAAGTAGAAACATAGTAATACATAGTTTTCGGTTGTAATATTGAATTTAATAGTATAGAAAACACGGAATTGGCAAGTTTTTATTAGTTTACTTGTCGTATTAGTGTAACCAGTTTTCTTAAAACAATTACATCTAGGGAGATTATACGAACCTTTCTGGAAAAACCTGGATTAATAGATTTTAGGAATACGGAGTTTTTTTTAGAGATTTACTATGTCAATAAAAACACTTTTTAAGAGAATTAAAATGGGACTTAAAAAATCAATCCATATAATTACTTTTTAGTTCCTTTGCAATCGTTAAAATCCGATCATTCATAATCTGTACTTTTGTCTGCTTTAAAGTAGATTTTCATGTTGCTATAAGATTAATGTTTCTACAAACATGTCGCTTACATGTTTATGTGTATAATAATGCCTAGTCTGCTCCTGCTTCGGTTTGCGCGTCCGGTCAGTATTCCAGCCCTCACACGAATCTTTCGATTTGTGTGGCGCTTATCTATTTGGTGTATCTCTGTACCAATGTTTATATGTCTAAATAATCTTGTTCCAGTTAAAATGTTCTTAATTTTACATTGAAGTTTTACTTATGCAACAATAATTTGGTGATCTGCAGAATCTCTCCTATTCCAGTTTTATTAACCATTTAATATAATTAGTTCCTACACAAACCGTGTGAATCAAAGCTATGTATGGAAATCTGTTCTTCATAAACTAATTCCATAATTATAAGAATTATTTATAGTTGACATTTGATTTGTTTTTGATCACTTGGTTATCATTTTGTTTTCTTAATTTACACTACATTCTCTAAACCAAAACAATAACAAACCACTATATTCCGATTGTTCCTAGTACACAAATTATATTTATTAACACAAGATACTATTACGTTAAATAATAGGTTAAATGATGAAGCTTTGCATATGTATATTTTCATCATAACCCTTTCTTTTTGCTAAAAAATACTGTAGACTATATGGAACTATAACAGGATGAGCATAAAACTTAAGATGAAATAGACATGCTTAGAAATCTATATGTTATAGTTTAATATTTCAAACCTTTTTAAGAACAGAAGAATGTCGCTACTTTTTCGGAAACGCGTCTTATTTTATGTGTCAAAGTTGAAGTGGATGGTTCCTTAGGTGGTCACTTTCCAGTTTTCCATTTGAACCTCTACCTACACAATAATAAAACACCCTTTTTATTCGCTGGTAATCATATTGTATTTGTTTTTCATCTTTTCATTGAGATCCAGAAGTTTGTGTATATCATTGATTCTAACCTCAGGACTTTTATCTTTAGTGAGACTGTCCTCATCGTTGAATTTGGTTCAAGCTGTATAGACATGAGCTTTTACATTTTCAAGTAACATCCCATCACATAGATATTGTGAATGGAACGTGTGCTGAAATTTAACTGTTTTGACAGTAGTTCAATAAAATCAGTATACTCTACGCGATCCTGGCTACATATACTAGGGAATTTGTAATCATGATTATAATCAGTACTGATTTCTTCGCGTTATGTGATAATATCAGGAAACAATATCCGGGATATACTACAAACGAGGTACATCATAATGGTTTGTGGTTCGCCTAGCTCCATGCTATTTATTGTTTTCTATTTTTTGACAATTTCTTGCCTTCTTTTCCAGGTTATTACGACAACGAGGTGATCGTCACTAGGACAACATTTCGAAATTCCATCATCATTGTATTAAACCATTATACACAAAATCCAATGTATTTTCACATACACATACGCTTTCTATGATGGAACTTTGTTTTTATTTTTTTCCTTTTCTCAAAATATTATCCACTATACAGTAGTAATTTTCTTATTTCATTATTATGTATTTTACAGATTATGTTATTTATTACGTAATTATCTTTCAGATGGTTTTCATATTATCATTATTCATTCGACATAATATTTCAACATTGATTGATGCTCATAGTGCATTTTTTTTCTCCAATGATTTCCTCATATTATTATGATCCTCGAATGTTATATATACTACTGTCGGCTCACTACTCATTCTTATCTGTATAAATAGAAATTATTCATATAATTACAAATTTCTTCATCCAACTTCATACACAATTATACGCTTTGCATATCATAATGCACTATATCTTCCCTTGAATATTATGATTTTATCTTTTCCAATAAAATATGCATTTAAATTGTTATACACAATGATTTTTTTAAAAAAGGAAATGAATTATTAGTTTATGCAAATATCTTTTTCCTTAAGGATTTATTCGTATTGAATTCCATTGTTCTTTTTTTATTATTATTTCCCTTTTGTATTTCTCTTTTCTTTTCTTTATGCCTATCTCCCTACACTTTTCATATTATTATTATTATTATCATTATTATTATTATTATTCATTTATCTCTCATAATCTCTAGTCACTTATGAATGCATTTCCATGATAGATAGAGATTTAGATTACTATTATTATTAACACGCCCAATGAATTATTACTATTATCATTGTTAATATTATTATTTTGGACTATTATATAAAGACTGTTAATTTAACATTCTATATCTCTTAAAAACATATACATGCACATTTCTTTTTCTTTGCCTTTATTCACAAAATTTCCTCTTTAAAAATTTTTTTACCTTGTTAATATTCAATTAATAATATTTTCCTTTGTTCAATTGTTTAATATAACAAAAAAGGAGAATATATTTTTAGTATATAGTAGTTTATAGGAGTGTATCTGTTTTTATTTCTTAATGAGTTTATTTAAACTTGCATGTTAATTAAGGGTTTTTTGGTTTATTTTGTGCGTAACATCGATATAGAGTTGAAGCAATAGATTTCTAGTTAGGCGAAAGCTCCTTAGTGTTGTCTTTTTTTTAACCAAATGAATTGTTTAAACCTTTGATTGTTCATAGTTGATTGACGTTATTGATTTAGTTGATGGATTTTTTTTGGAGATTAGTTTGATTTGTTAGTTGGTAATTTTCACTAAGCACTAGATAGGCATTTCGTTCTAGTACGAAATCCTCAGCATAACTCAATCTAGGATGAACACAACCAAAAAATTTGATCAGTCTTCATGAAACCATTCAACTATAATATTTAGCTCACTACTTATTTAGCTCACCTACTTAAAAAAAAGTTTTAGTAAGAAGTCATGGAGTTTAGAGATGACTAAAATTAGAAATATAAACCACTGGATACCAATTCAGTTATCTGTAGTCTAAATGTACGCTTTGAGCTCTAGAGGTTACGGATACGTACTGCTAAGTCTTATGTTAGCATAAAACATGTCCAGTGCTCCCTGGTTCTTTCGATGGTATTTTAACAGATCAATTTTTGACGAATAGAACCTATTGGACTATTGGTGTGAACCTTCAGTAAATCTGAGATAGTGATAGCTTGGTGTTGCTAGTGAAGAAAGTTTCTCGTGACAAAGATCTATTACTGCGTACTCTTTGATATTGGGATGGAACCTAGAAGTGACAATCCCTTGTTCTTTCATGATTAAATACTTTTAATTTCTCCTGCAACCCAGATAGTCCATAAATTACTAGTGTAAAGTGAGATTTTCATCGTTACCTGTATTTCATTTCAAAAGCTGCGTTTTGTTTATGTAAAGGTAAACTTTCTAGATTAACTAAATTGTTCGTTGCAGGTGAAATTAAAATTACTCTATACCTTTCTACGAACTAATTCTTTCTTCCTGTGTTATATCTTTATACACAATCTTCCTTTTATATACTACTACCATTAAAGTGACTACTATGAATTTGGTGTTCATGTTGTTGTGCTAATGAGATTTGGCATATATGTGCCTGGTCCTACGTTGTAACTGACTGACTCTTTGCGGGTGATGCTATTGATTTTACATAAATCATCATGAAAGACATATGGAGTTCATTTTCATAAGTTGTTTCCAATTTTAAGTGTTAATAAATGATTCTAGCTTTTAAAATACTTTGATTTGTCTTTTATATGTCTGTTCGTATTTCTCCTACAATTAAGGATTAATTTACTATACAATCAAGTAAGTCACATTGCTTAATAAAGTACATACTTTGGTATTACAATCTGTTATAAATTTGTTAAATTATTTATTCTTGAGGATATTCTTAGTGAAGACAAATTGAAAAACACTTATGAAGTATCAGGTACTTTTAATTATTCTGTCAAATAAGGTTCTCGTAGTAAATTTAAAAGTTGAAACATTGCTTGATGAACGTAATTTGATTAAAATTGATAATAGTATTTTCATGATTTTCATTATCTGTTTGTGACTACATTATAATGTATTAGTATGTAAATTATGTGCATCAACAAGTTTCAGTACGTTTGTCAGCCATCAGTTTTACAGAAGTGTAAGGAAATTAATAGAATTAAGCACTGTGAATATTCAAGATGACAGCGATATTATAAAAATAAAAGTAACTCTGTGAATGAAAAACTAGCATCCAGTTGAACGCTATGCAACTAACATATGCTAAGTCGATGGACTCACATCTCTACTGATAAAAACGGTCACATCTAGTAGTTCTTTAAACTATTTTGAAGCGTAAGCTTGTAATCTGACTAAAAGTTTACACTGAAATTATTTGAACTGGGTCGTTTTCATGTAAATGTTATTTTTTTCGTGAATCCCGTCAAGTTGTCTGTGATTCTGTCGTGAAATTGTTGTAATATTCAAGAGTATTATAAGAAATTCAGTACATGTTTACATACAATGATAGTTTTGTTGATTATTTTATTTTAAGAATGTAGTACCAGTAAACATTAGTCTTATTGCTTTTATGTGGAAAAACTTATTGCCAATTTTAATATAGTCTCACTCAAACTAGTCGAAGTGATTCTAGAAGTAATCGAACATTCATCGTATTCATAACTTATCTACATTTCGTTAAAAATAAGAGAAATTTTTCATCTAGGGAAATGAGAGAATGTAATCGATTAGAATTTACTCTACACATGATGCATTTTTTGTTAATATGTTGGAGGAAATATTCAATCATCAACAATAACTGTTGTTATGACAACAGACAATTAACTTTTTCTAAATTAACAAATAAGCGTGCTTAAAAGACATTTATATAAACTAACAATACACTTCAAAAAATATATAAACTTAAGTGCAGTTTTTGTTGAATAGAAAAGCATAATAATAATAATGTACATGCAAAAGGTATTTGTGTATGAAATGAGTTGGTCAGATTTGTTATTATAGTTGACTTTCGTTAAAGTCATTTATTTACCTCCTGTAATATGCCTTTTATTTAATCATTCAGTCTCGGGTACTTTTGGACTGGATATAAGATAATGTATATCGAGAATTAATATAGGAGAGAAATATATACTTGTTTATCCGCTAATGATAAATGGATAGATTGTTTACAATAGCATTTTATTTTTGTAATCAGTTAAAAACTTTTGAATTCTTCCTACCTACTTGAATGAACGAGGAAATTGGAAGTAACTTTTGAATTATATTACTAACTATATATATATATATATATATATATATATATCGGTTTCAATTTACAATTCTTGGAACTTACAGTAAATAAACTGTTCAATATTTATTAGTGACATTTATTAATTAACTATTATTTAATATGCAAACTTATTTACCTGTGCCAATTTGGAAAAAAAGTTAATTGTCTGTTGTCATAACAACAGTTATTGTTGATGATTGAATATTTCCTCCAACATATTAACAAAAAATGCATCATGTGTAGAGTAAATTCTAATCGATTACATTCTCTCATTTCCCTAAATGATAAATTTCTCTTATTTTTAACGAAATGTAGATAAGTTATGAATACGATGAATGTTTGATTATTTCTAGAATCACTTCGACTAGTTTGAGTGAGACTATATTAAAATTGGCAAAAATGTATGTGAATCATGTAATTTTTGTTAGAAAATTTTCTTAAAATACAAGAAAATGTCATAGTTTTATAGGTTATCGCTATGCATACTACTCGTAGACGTTTTAATATTAACTTGTTTAGATAATCTATGTTGATGACTTATTAAACGTTTCAGAATGTAACAGTTCACTGATGTATTTTAATTTAAACATTGTCCGGGTTAGTTGATAAAGTTTGATTTTCAAATTTCTGATATGATCATCTTTGTAGGTAAGGTACAACCTTGATGTTATTTATTTCGATAACTGGCTAAGATTTTAGAGAATCACTGCATCATAGAAGGCTATTTTTATCGTCTTGGTTAAAGATCTTTGCTTGGAAGAAGAAGAAGACGAGACAATTCTCAAGTACTTTCTGGTTTTTATTGGTTGTCTAACTAGTATTAGTCTGCGATGTAAACTATAAGATTCAATAATCTCTACAATCTTCTATACTATGTACTAACTAATTTATCCAGTGGTTCTGTCTTTCCATGAGACTAAAAGTTCTAGGGACTGAAATCATACAGGATTGTAAATATATATTACTGATGAATAACGAACTATGACATAACCTATGTTCACTGCTCTAAATCTCAGTTTATGTCAATTAATCATAAGATATGATTTACAAAATAATTAATCTTGATAAATCTTCTATACTTATAGATATAGAGAGTTCATCATTTGCGTGTGGGCTGTGATACTGCCCGGGTGCCCAAACCGAAGCAGGTGGTTATCTTAGGGGGCCACACCCTGAGCCTTTGACTTGAAGGTCTAAC